TATTTCTTGCTTCAAGGAGAATATTCCCTTCGCATAGGTAGCGTGATTGAATTCTATGTGGGCCTCGTTAGCTCAGTTGGCAGACCGTTAGGCTTTTAATCTAGCGGTCAGGGGTTCGAGTCCCCTACGAGGCTATTTCTCTTGCATTCTCACCACCTAGGCTAGATCGAGTTCTTCTCGGCGATTAGAAGAAGGCAAAAGGTGTTACGTGATTTAGCTTAATTCATGGAGTAGATTCCCTTCGCATAGACACCGTGAAAAAATTTCTGTATGGGCCTAGTCAGCTCAGTTGGTAGAGCGTTAGACTTTTAATCTAACGGTCAGGGGTTCGAGTCCCCTACGGGGCTATTTCTTTTGCATTCTCACCACCTAGGCTAGATCGAGTTNAAGGAGAAGATTTCCTTCGCATAGGTAGCGTGATTGAATTCTGTGTGGGCCTCGTTAGCTCAGTTGGTAGAGCGTTAGACTTTTAATCTAACAGTCAGGGGTTCGAGTCCCATACGGGGCTATTTCTTTTGCATTCTCACCACCTAGGCTAGGTCGAGTTCTTCTCTGACTAGAGAAGAAAGCTGCAGGTGTTGCGTGATATTGATTGCTTCAAGGAGAATATTCCCTTCGCATAGGTAGCGTGATTGAATTCTGTGTGGGCTTCGTTAGCTCAGTTGGCAGTGCGTTAGGCTTTTAATCTAGCGGTCAGGGGTTCGAGTCCCCTACGAGGCTTTTTCTTTTGCATTCTCACCACCTATGCTAGATCGAGTTATTCTCGGCGGTTAGAAGAAGGCAAAAGGTGTTACGTGATTTAGCTTCCTTCACGGAGTAGATTCCCTTCGCATAGACACCGTGAAAAAATTTCTGTATGGGCCTAGTCAGCTCAGTTGGTAGAGCGTTACACTTTTAATCTAGCGGTCAGGGGTTCGAGTCCCCAACGGGGCTATTTCTTTTGCATTCTCACCACCTATGCTAGATCGAGTTATTCTCGGCGATTAGAAGAAGGCAAAAGGTGTTACGTGATTTAGCTTAATTCATGGAGTAGATTCCCTTCGCATAGATACCGTGAATAAATTTCTGTATAGGCCTAGTTAGCTAGGTTGGTAGAGCGTTAGACTTTCAATTTAACGGTCGGGGTTCGAGTCCCCTATGGGGCTATTTTTTTTGCATTCTCACCACCTAGGCTAGATCGAGTTCTTCTCTGACTATAGAAGAAAGCTGCAGGTGTTGCGTGATATTGCTTGCTTCAAGGAGAATATTCCCTTCGCATAGGTAGCGTGATCGAATTCTGTGTGGGCCTCGTTAGCTCAGTTGGTAGAGCGTTAGACTTTTAATCTAGCGGTTAGGGGTTCGACTCCCCTACGAGCTATTTGTTTTGTATTTTCGCCACCTGGGCTAGATCTTGTTGTTCTCTGCGAAGAGAAGAAAGCAGCAGGTGTAACGTGGTTTAGGTTGATTTATGCAGTAAATGTGCTTTGGATAACTGCCCTGATTAAACATCTGTGTGCAGCTACGTGAGCTCAGTTGGTAGAGCGTTAAACTTTTCATCTAAGGGTCAGGGGTTCGAATCCCCTAGAGGGCTGTATCTTTTGTACTTTCATCTTCTACACTAGATCGACTTATTTTGGGTAAATAGAAGAATGCAGTAGGTGTTCCATGATTAGCTTGCTTTATGGAGTAGATTTGCTTCGCATAGCTACCGTGATTAAATGTTTGTGTGAGCCTCGTTTGCTCAGTTGGTAGAGCGTCAGGGTTTTAATCTAACTGGCCAGGGTTCAAATGCCCCGCGGGGCTGGTTATTTTGCTCTCTCACCACCTTTCTTAGATCGGGTTATTGTGGGACAATAGAAGAAAGCATTAGATATTTCGCGATTTCGATTGCTTTATGCTGTGGATTTTCTTTGCGTAGCTGCCATGTTTGGAAGCTTTTGTGGGCCCTTGTTAGCTCAGTTCGTGCAGCGATAGACTTTTAATCTAACGGTCAGGGGTTCGAGTCCCCTACGGGGCTTATACTTTCACAGTCTCAGCTCCAACGTTAGATCGAGTTATTCTTCACCAATAAAAAAAAACTGGGAGCATTGCATTGTATCGACCTTCAGTTTGGTATTTATCTACGTGTCTTATGCGAGGAGATTCCTGAGGAGTTTTGAATTAATTCATAGGGGTACTTTTTGCCGAGGATTGGCTTAACCTAGGAACCGCCGTAATAAAAGGAGTCAGCCGAAAGGAATCGTGGGTTACTTATTACAGTCCGCGGAATCGAATCAGAAAACGATCATATATGTTTTGCAGGTCATTTGTACCCACTTCGCTCGGCTAATAATTATCATATTATTGTATTCTTCCGTTAAGGTCCATCTTTTCAATTTTTTTGTAATTCGTTATTTACCCGTCTTGGCCGTTCTCTCCTGTAGTTCTGCTTTTTCAGTGCGAATTAATAATTCCATATTTCCTTGTAGACGATTGTCTTTTACCTTGTTCTAACGCTGCGATGAACTGGTGTGGCCTAACGACGTTCTCCATTTCACTTGCCTTCCGATCGCACCGCCCACCTTTCCATTACTGTTTTGACGATGTCTCGTGTTGATAGATCGACCAGCCTGGATCCACCTCCGGAGAAGACGATTTTTCGAATAGGTATCTCCGTTTTGTTCTTTTCAGTGGTGGTTTTTTATTCCTCTGACATGTCTTTATTTCGTTCGATTTTAGTTTTAATTTTCTGGATCAAACTTTCCACGTCTTAAAATTGTTCGCCTTCTTCGGATGCATGTGGCTTTGTTTTCTTCAATCTCTCTCTCTCTGTCAGAAAATTTTCGACTTCGTTTCTTTCTGTTGACTGAACATTTTTGTTTTTGTTCTTTCTTATTAAATGTTAATTGAACATTCCTTGAACGCCTTTTTTCTAAAAGTTCCTTGTCGCTCTTCCGATTGTTAACCGGCTTTGAATGATCGCTCTTTCAAAAGCAAAGATATAGCAATATGATTTAGCGCTTTTTCAAACCAATCCAAATTCACACAGTTATCCTTAGTCTTCCGAATAACTTGCTATTTTTTATTTCGTTCTGAAATTGTTAATGTAACACCTGTCATAAAGAGCTTCTGATTCTACTCATTTTGATCAGGTGAACTTATGCAAGAGTGGATTGTTGTAGCACGACCGAAGTAATTTCGTCGACTGCCACTATTGCAGCTCCACAAGGTTCACCGTATTTCTCACTATGAGGGAGCCGTGTCTGCTCTTTGAATTAAAGAGTATGAACATCAATAACCTTAAACCGCAGTGCAGCTTCTTTATCCATTATTCTATACGTGTTGTTCATCACCTACCGATTTGTTCGGAATGAGAGTGAATGTTGAGATTCCGTTTCCCATGGAGACAAAAAACGCAAAATTGCTGCACCAAACACGCCAGCGCCATGAAAATAAACCGACGACATTGGATGAACTTCGTATTGGACATGCCCCAATCATTCTTTGCGAATCACAACCCCACCAATAGGTCGGGCGAATTGAACGCCGGAAAAAGGTTAAATGTCAGATAGGATTGCTTTCAATAATCTTTGTTAGGGCGTTGTTCAAATCGTTAAACAAGCTGTACATGCTCCTAAATATAAATTCTCTTGGCTTTGTCCTCGGCTATAGGTATCTCACAAATTTTGCACACAAATATTTCATACCTACCTAATCTTCAACATTCTACACACTCTCTTCAGACCTTAGTGACGATCGCCCTATTCCGTCAAGAACAGCCTCACTGTATGCGTCTAGTGAGGCAGGTGAGCTTACTGTTTCCGTTCCTTTCCTTTATATTTAACGTGAAAATTGCCCCGCTATTGAGGTAATTTGGCTCGGGCAGCATTCGAGCAGATCAAAAGTTGACCAAATAAGTCAATTATCTGGATGCCACAAAATACGAAGAAACCGCTTTCGATCTGACTCCGTCGCTTTCCTAAATCTTTCTTGAATCGTAATTCTATCTGCTCTCATCTGTTGAGAATTCCCTTTAGAAGGAACGAAAAGCTGGACAAGACTTCTATTATCAACTGGCGTTCGAGCATTACTCATTAATTTTAAGCGAACTGTCGTGATAACAAATAGTGATGAATACAATGTTGACCTTCTCCTCGCTTTACATTTGATAGGATTCTAGTGCACTGCTTTATGTTTTCCTTGGGAAAATGAGATTTTTGCAACAATGCTTCCCTTGGGCAGAAGGTGTTTGTATTAGAAAACATATTTATTCAACAGTGGGAAAAGTTCAAGCGGTTTCGCTTTCTTCAGAGCTTGAATAGGATCAAATTATTGTGAAATCTAGCCAGCCTAATATTTTCATAATACCCTCGGCAGAAAACTGGAAACCTACGTTGCAATCGCAAGGATAGCGGTTTTTTTAAAGAAATATTGTTTCGCCCTTTAAAATCTCCCGCTTACTGTTAGAGGCCATCCGCATAGATCTTACATGTGTGAGGAATGTGCTCGTTGTGCAGTTGAAGAAATAAATCCTAGGTATAACTTGAGACCAGGCGTGATTGCTAGGCACTCCCTCCTGTGGTTAATCTTTGGATTTTTGGAATTTAATGAGATTTGTGGATAGGAATACCATTATAGGTGACCTCGCCATGCCGTCAGTGCTTTTTCCGTCCATGCGGTTGATGCTGGCAGCGATGCTGTGCTGCTGCTTCATCACGCTCTCTATCTCCAGTTCTAATCTGGCTGTCGCACTCATCTGTATGACTAGCTGTCCACATCACGGCTATGGTGGTGATCTGAAATGGAAGACTGAGCAAGTACGTCCTGGTTGTGTCGACGTGCAGGAACTCATAAACGTTATACGAAAAAGTCAATTAGCTTTATAGATAATTCTACTTTTTACTTTGGAAAATGGTGGAATCGTACCAAATGAATGAAATATGCCGTCCAATGCGTGTTTATGATTCCACCTAGATTTTTGATGACAGTGATCTTGGCGAAAATCTAGGAGTTCTAGCGTTAAATGGTATAAACGTTTTTGCTAAAAAAAGTGATTCCGTGAATGCTAAAGCTCGTTCTCGCAAGAACTTTTTCGATGTTAAAGAAGGTCAGTCAGTGTTCACATAACTCCTCAATGAGTGTTGCACTCGGACTAATCGGCAAAGTTGAACTTTTAGTGCACTTTTTGTTGTTTATTCCACTGTTCCAATCACCAGTGTGCGTGCTTTGAACGAGTACCAGTGGTCATCAAAAAACCAAAGCTACCGGTTAGAGTAAAGAAATCAATTCTAAATACTTGGAAGCTACGCAAAACTCAGATTCGCTTATGAGCCTTAGAGGGTCTAAGCTGGAAATTTTAAAATACTGTCTACACAACGTTAAAAATCGAAACAGAGTCAAATCTGAAACAATGGATGATTTTAAACTGGCTCTCTCTTGAAAATCTTGATTCTTCTAAACGTCTGCACAGCAAAAATAAGCATGGTTTACCAATGTCGTTATTTTAAATTATAATGCAGCCAATCATCCTCTTAAGCATGAACTTGAATTTGGTATATGTAAACTAAATGAAAACGCCGATCTCAACACCATAGCCGTTGCTGAAGTCTAATAATTTTAGGAAGGACTTGTGTTAGCCGCACAAAATGCCGGCTCTCTACTCACCTTGGTCACTGGGATGTGGGCCGATCGTCTGAATGGAAAATGGATGGTGCGAGTTGTAAGAGTTCATTCAACATGTGAACATGTGTAGGGTCGCATGACCTTAGCCTGTGGACATTTAAACTGATCACTCATTGACGTTTTCGTGTTTCTGAATTTTTGTGGAGGTAGGTGTTCGTCGCCCTGCTTCTGTGTTGCGTCGGCAATCTGGTGCTTCCGCTGCTTGCCGCCGAATCGTTCTGGTTCGCCGTTGCAGCACGAGTCGCCATCGGAGCTTCTGACGCGTGTTTGATGCCAGCCTGCAACTCGCTTATCACCCGGTAATGCCATCTGATCACTCATTTTCCTGTTTTCAGCGTTTGCTTCCTTACCTCTTAATAACCCGAAAAGCCTTGCGAATGAGAGACAGTGTCCGTAATGAAAAACGCTAACGTATAGAATCCTCGAACACCTGTTAACTGCCATCTATGGAAGATATACACCACGGAGTTTCTCATAAAAACAGATATGACGGGATAACTTGGTGGAGAACAAGTAGTAAGAGAGTACTATCTAAGGGAAGTAGCTAGTAGTAATTTTCCAATAAGTATCTAACTTTTGTCTCTAATTCAACTTTTCATGTTCCTTGTTCATAGCGCAAAAGCATTTGACAGAATTTTGATAAGATGACTTGGTAATATTCTACCGGAAATCATCACTTATTTAACTAAGAATTACTTTCTATCACCGACACAGATATCTATTTCGTTACTATTTCCCAACTTTTTTGTCGGTTTTTATCCAGTATCATTAATGATGCGCTGACAGTTCCCCAACACCACTAGATGAGGTCATCTGTACATGTAGAGCGAGCTGATTATCCGTGATTACAACGGCCACAACAGGTATCTGCCTTCGCCACACGTTCACAGGGCGGCTCCGAATTCTGCCCGGACCGGCGGGCGACAAACAACGATGTAATGAAGATTAAAGATTGGCTTCACGTGATTGAACGGGATTTTTCCCACACGACTAACCCGCTAAACTGTTGAGTCCGTTTTTCGGGGTTACGTAGTTGTCATTCTGTAGAAATAAACGTGTAAAATCTCACCTTTACCAAATAATTGCACAAAATGTGTGGTACTGTGCATTGTTTATGTTTGTTTATGATCTCCTAAGCTTATAGGTGAATTACATATTATTGTTGTTTATAAATTTGAAGACAGATGGAAACTTTTGTGATATTTAGACAAAACAACCACGTTTGGACAACGAGTTGAGGAATGACAATTCGTCTTTATAAAGTTGTTCCTAGAACCCAAACTGAACTTCGGTTATTAATCTATGACTTAGTTCTTATTAGTCACTATTCCCATTACAGGTGGTTTCCTCAATCAGAACGAGCTGCCGCCATCGGTCTAATCTCAGGTGGCCGTCAAATCGGTACGCAATTCGAACTTTAAAATCAGTCTAAAAAATGGCAGTGATTCCCATGAAGTTTGTATTTTGACCAATAGCACTTTTACTAGGCCTTTTTTTACTGTCTTAATTTTACCTATTGCAATGGACTTCTAGTTTAATGCACAAGTTGGTTTGCATTTCCTTACCCAACAGTGCCTCAACATCCCAGGCAAGTAACGAATAATTCGCGAACCCCCTTCAAGTGGTTGTTTCAAGCGTTACCGTTCTCAAGTCAGCAGACCCGGTCGAGGTTTCGAATCCACTTCGCAACCTACGCTCGTTACTTCTGATTCATGTTGTCGCTTGTGTCGATCCGTGTGATCGGCCAGTGATAGGAGCCGATGGCGACGCTGTACGTAGGCACGAACCGGATTCGACATCGACGAACAAACTCTGCCCACTCAGCGTCCCCAGCATGCAGTCGGCCACTTCTACACGACCGACTGTAACACAACGAATTGCGGGTGACGTGAACGAAAAAATGCATTGCCTCCTATTTTTTATTCAAAGCGACGGCAAAACGCAAAAAAAACGCTCTCAACATCGATTCGTCGATTTGTCAGTGAAGAACCAGCTGTAGAAAGAGATGACCGAGCGATCTGTACAGAAGTGATAAATTTGGATTAGAGCACGGTTCTTATGAAGAACTTCTCCAGTCTATTTTACACAGCCAGCTGACGAAACTTCTGTACAATGTTTATAGCGTCAAGGTCTGAGTACATTATACAAAAAAGAAATCCCAATCCACCGTTCAGAACGGTTGTTCAATTTTATCGTTTACATCGAGAAAATTCATTGATCATTTTATTTTTAGTTGGGAAAAACAAGAAAAAAACTGCTCTATCGTCTAATTCTGAAATTCACATGTGGGCTTCCAGTTTGCCTATGAATTGACAACTACAGCAACGCGATTTTCTTTTCCACTAGAATTCATCAACTGTGATTCTTTCCGATCTCGGCCTTTGTTTTGGCTCATTTTCTTTTAAGAGTTCTCTTTTGGTAAACAGAAGAACACAATTTTTTAAAATCCTTCATTTCTTATTTTCTACCTTCTATAATTTTTATGGCAGGGTATTAAGCGAAATGCAACCACAAGATTCCTGAGATATATGCAAAACTCCGGTTAGCAGGTGTCTGCGGTGGGGAACGAACGCGCTATTGTCTTTTCCGGGGAGTAACGCGTTCACCACCACACCATTCAGTTCCTTCGTTTCGCCTGTTTCTCAGCTAGTTCTAACGATCAGTGCCGTCAGCCATCAACCGTCAACGCGATTGATCTGGGGAGCCCACATCGCCATTGATCCCAGTTAAGCTGAGGCCATAGTTGTTTTCACTGTGTTTTATTTCTTATTTTCTGTCTTCTATAATTTTCATAGCAGGGTATGCGAACTAGCTGAGAGATAGGCTAAACGAAGGACCCGCGTGGTGTGGTGGTGAACGTGTTACTACCCAGAAAGGGCAATGGCGCGTTCGTTCTCCACCGCAGACACCTCCAGTTCGGAGTTTTGCAAATATCTCAACAATTTTTTAAGTCAAAGGGCATCATTTTAATGCGAAGTGCATCACTTATCGACGATAGGGAAAACAAACTGGTTCGTTTAAAATAATGATGAGGTTTTACAATTTATCTAATGCTCCTCCAGTAGTTTGATTTGATTTCTCCAGGAACTTTATTCATTCTACCAACTGCCGGTTACCTTTGTACGAGAAAGGACATCTTGAACGGTTGGCCTGCAATATTCTACCTCTCGGCCTGTATATCGATACTGGTCACAGTGTTCTGGATTCCATTTGGGGCCGACAAACCTGCGAAGCAATGCTGTATTTCGGGACGAGAACGTGATTTCATTGAGAGCAGGTAACTTAGAAATGCTACTGGGTGGTCGTAGAAATACATCTTTTTAGCAATATCCACGCACAAAGTTTATTTTCATTTACTGCCTCTTATTGTTTTTCACGGCAGTGTATGATGTGAAATAAGAATCACTATGAAGCTGAGATATTTACAGGACTTGGACCCCAGGATCGATTCGTGCCCACGGTTCCCTTTGCGGTGACTCACGTGTTACAACACTGCTCCGCTGAGGCCCTTTTTGGCCTTCCCCACAGCCAGTTTTCTACCTAACGGTGCCACTAGCAATCATCCATCGACGGGAATAATCTAGAGAGCACAAATCAGCATCAAACGCGGTTATGTTGTTGCGGTAGTCGAAATTACGATGTCTGCTTTTTATTTACTGCCTATTATTATCAAAATGTTCCAATTTTAATAGTATATGTGCTGGAATGAATAGGAATAGAAAATAGGAACTAGGAACGGATAGTGGTAGCAATGTCCGTTATCACGAGTATGGTGCTAGTTCGATTCCGCTCTGGGCTGGGCCAACTAAGCTTCTCTCCCCTTCGGTGTTGGGAAACGGGTACCGGACTTGTCTGCGAAAAGATTCACATTCTGCAATCCAGTTGGTAACGCTCCAGCCCGGCTTCTCAAGACTCCACGAAGAATAGACTCAACCAGAATTCTACGACATTCATGGTGAAATGAAAATCCTCAGTCAGTAGTCGAAGCCACTCGTAAAGTTGGAAGATCTTCGTGGATAACGGATGCGATGAAACGAACTGAATGTGAGAAATGCTGCGATCTGTGCGAGACGCGTGAAGACGGCTCATATAAAATAAAATAAGAATTAGAAATTATCAAATTCGGCCTGGTGTCCAAGTTTTGCAAACATCTCAGCATCATGGTGCTCGTAATTCACGCACGTAATTTTTTTTCGGAACTCTTGACATATTGGCTGCGCTGTTTGATGACCTTGGGCAATATTTTTACTAACAATATCATCTCTCTCTTTTCGAATTTCAAGAATTCTGGGTAAAGAACAGATCCAGAGGTTTAACTTTCGTTTGCTACCTATCATTTCTTTTTCACGGCAGGGTATTACGTCAGATACACGTATTTGTGTTTCACGTAATTCCCTGCCGTGAAGCAAAAAATAATAGGCAGTAAATAAAAGTTAAACATTATGATTTCGACCGAGCTTCAGCTTAACGGGATTCAATGCCGATGTGCGCTCACCAGATCACCTCGTTGATGGGTGACTGCTAATGGCACCGTCTGGTACAAAACTGCCTGAGAAAATGACGAAGTACTCTCCCCAATGGTGCAATGGTTAACACATGAGTCCCCGGCAAGGGTAATCTCGGATACGAAGCTCACCTTAGGGCCCGAGTTTTGCTCATGTCCTAGATCTGGATAATATCCTTAAATCTTCAGAGAAATGAGGTTCACACCCGTTTACACTGTTTTAGAGTTCCCAAAAATGCGCGTGGTCTGATGTTGTGGTTATGCAACGCCTACCTATATTGGTCGTCCTAACCATTTCAGGCCTGTGCCCAAATCACCTTCTAGCAAAGAATTTTTCCAGTGTTAAATGTTCCGAGTTGTTCAGTGTCGGTAGATTTCAACCAGATCAAGATTTTTTCCTTCTACGCTAATCATAAAGGGAGCACCGAGCATCGAGGTCAAAATTATTTCACGAAAACCACGTCTGAATCACGAACCCCGTGAGCACCTGTCAGTCGCATCCTCTCCATATAGAATTCATAGCTTCTCCATACCTATCCGGCCTTTTAGAACGAAAAGAGTACCAGAGTAACCCATAAATGTTCCTTCGTTTCTTCTTCAGCTTTCTAAAGATCTTGTAAAATGTAGCAAACGCCATCAATTGCGTTGCTCTGTTTTGTGCTCTTGAAATGAAATCTCTAAAACCTCAGATAAAGATTGTACGTTATAGGTTGATAGCGGATCGAGCACCAAACTAATATATATTGTGGGCATAAAGAATCTTGCTATCATAATAAATATTAAGCATTAAATAAAAGAAAAAACTGGATTAAGGAACCTTTCGTGTGATGAGTGAACTATTAGGTCAATTGAACACTGAGTTAGTTGTGGTTCTTTGAATGTGTTAATGGAATGGAAGAATCATGGTAGAATCGCCTGTGAGTCGATCGGGAAGCGAACGGACCGCTCGAGGAGGATCCCCTACCGGGCAATGCTGCGCTCGCCGGCGTTGTGGGCGTCGATCTTCGCTCTCGTCTGCCACGAATATCCACTCGTTATCATGCTACAGGTAGTTGAAGAAATGTATAAGAAATGTATAACATGTAAATGTAAGAATGAAGTATAAGTATAGAAGTAAGAAGTAAGAAATGTATAACACAGCAAGAAATGTATAAGAACCTCTTATTTTTTTACATAGTCTGACGTCACATATATCACACTGTGCAGATCTTAGCACTTATTGCATTTGATTCATTTACTCACATCCAATATCTGCTCTGCGATGGTTTTCGAACTTTTTCGCTTTGGATTCGGCTATTCATTGAAGTTTTTATGATCGTCACGAAAGATATTGAATGCTGGTAGAGTATATTCTTCCAGGAATCATGAGATTGTCGTGCTAGCGTGTTTCTACATCTCGATTAAAACGAATTAGTTGATCCGACACAAGCCTGGTACCAATTCGTCGACCTCGGGGTGTGAGAGGCTTGGTGGGCCTAGCGAACCAACTCCTGGATAGGTTCGGTGGTTAGAGTAATGAGCGGAATCATTACCACTGCGCTATCCGCTCCTATTAAGTGAAAAATGCATTAAAATAAGTATAGTTAAATGAAAATAGTAGCAGTCATCATCGTTCATTATTAGTGGGTTTTTTCACTAGGAAATTTTACCTGCTTTCAGTTGTCGTTCTGACATTTGAACGCGTGTGGCGCAGTGGTCGGAGGCGCCCTACAACACACACGTGGAATCGATTCCTGCGCCCATGGCTCACCAAGCCTTCCATCCCTCCAGTGTTAGCAAATTGCTGCTAGACTTGTCTGAGAGGACTGCAGCACTGGCTCGATACATCGGCAGGCCACCGCAGGTCATTGTGAAGACCAGATATGAATTCAATCACCTCCAAATGATGCTAATGAGGTCGAACGAATGGCGCATCCTTCAGGGATTGTTTAACGACGGGAGTTCTATTCTTCAGCTTTTTCAATTTTCATTCAAAGAGTGCTTTACTTATACATAAAGATCGGCATGTCGTCAGCTGAGTCCAAGTATATTGTGGTTTTTTATTCTGCGTGACCTTGTTTAACGTCGAATATCTTGCCTTTAATATGGGAAAGAGAAATGGATTTCACAATCCAACCAATTCTCATTGCACTGGAAAACTCAGCACGACTAATACAAAATGGGATTTGGATATGGTGTTCCAGAAATGTGGAATATTAAGTATTAAACTGAGAACATTCGTCAGATATATGCTATCGATACCCTCAGCAATATCAGAAACTCCTAAATCAATTTTTGATGTTCTACTCGTCTGCCATCGTCTACCAGCCTATGAAGAGTGAGAAGGTAAAAATTGTTTTGTCTGGAAACGTGTTGTGTTTCTGAACAGATAACGCTTCGTTTTCAAATAGGTTTTTTGCGTTTGATATGCACATTGTTCTTATATTCTTCTGGTGGATTTTATTTTTGTACTAATTTGTGTTCGCGTTAGAGCAATGTAGCGGAAATGCCTAATAATGGAATATGATCCGTTTCCTGATTGGAATGTGATTACGAGGGAAATTGGTGCCTTGGCAATAACTGATGACAAAGGTGAAACACAAAAACTGTTTCCAAACCAAGATTGCACCAAAACGACGTTATAACTTTCAGTTCTACAGATGGGATCACCACTGTAATTTACTCAGCCTTGACGAAACCATTACTGAGAAGAAACATTGTCGAAAAACCGATGAAATGCATCAACGACTGTAATATCTACGACTGGCAATAATTAATCGAAAGAGAGCAGTTCTGTCGAACGACAAATGGGCGACGGAAGTAACACGCTGAAGAAAAAGTGGGATAGGAAACTCAACTCCATCCATCACTGGCACAGGGTCTGTTACCAATCAAACACTACTTTTCAAGCACGACAGTTACTGGCTAAGGAAGTGCTGAGAAATTTGTCCACTGTCGTGTTTTTTTGTCCATTGATAAACTTTGCTATTAGCCGACATTTTTCTTTGACGTTGAATATCAAAAGCCGACCTTAACTTCTAGCCAGCAAAAAATTGGTGGTAGAGCTAGAGAACATTACTGCTATTGCAGTATGTAATGTGATAAAAGCGCGCCCTTCATAATGACATAAAAATCGACGTTCCGTTACCGTTCATGTACAGTGGCGACTGTTACCCTTTGGAGAATTTTGCTCATTTTTGCCCACTTGAGGAAATTAATGATACCTGGACACATACCGCACAATAGCAGTAACGGCATTCATTGTGCACAACAACGACGTTCGACTCTGCATTAAATCAGCGAAGTATTCCACCAGTCTCCGGCGAGTACATTACTACCAGACTTTTCACGGAACTGCTCGCTTAAACCAATTCACAAAGATGTTCCAAAGATGTGAAAAAGCTTTGGAAAAGCCCAAAAATCCCATGGATTCTGATGAGAATTAACTCGACCAACATCCGACGATGCTATTCGTAAGGAAAATCAAAAATCCGTAAGCAGTAGCTTAACTCATCCATAATTCCGAACACTTTCGTGGGTGATAGATGCGGGCAAACGATTCAAATGGAGAAGTGCTAGAATCGGTACAATGTGTTATCTCGAGTTATAAGAAATGATAGTTATTTGTTAACAGTTCTAATAACTAGTAAGCAATGATAAGCGTTGATTCCCTGATTTGTGGATTTCCAGTTTCTTCCGAACTACATGCGTGACGTACTCGAATTCGCTCCCACGCAGAATGGTTTTATAGCTGCGTTGCCTATTCTCTGCCTTTTCCTTTCAAAGACGCTCTCTTCATCCTTCTCGTCATACCTGGTCACAAAAAAGAACATGGATAAGACCATGGTTTGCAAGGTTAGCACTTATGGTGATATCCTAATATTTTATCGAGCTTATGAACTGGTTTTTGGGAATGTTCTTCCATTGACTGATTTACTCCTGCAGGAATTGCACAACTTTTTTTCCCCTAGCTCATCGGTCCCTCCGTAAGTAGACATTCTATCGAGTCGCAATCCTCAGTTGCTAGTCAGTATTTCTGACCACATAGATGAATTTGATGAGGTCTTACTGAATAATTCATAATTTAATTTTATTCCGAAAATCGACTATCTTCTAACCGCAGTGTGACTAATCAATGTGTGCACATTGCGACGTAATATCATTGTAAACCGGCTTTAAAAGTAACAATCTCGTGTTAACTTATCAATGAAATACCGTACGTTAGCCAATGTGTATTCTTTCACAGACAAGCTAACTCGGAATTTATTTCAAGAAAAATTATTCGGCTAACATTGCGGACCCTTCGCATCCCTCGGAACCGGACTGGTCCGAATCGATTGTTCACAGTTGTTCTTTCTTCATATGTGGATCTTCGTGATTGCATAGAATTGAATCCACTGGAGCACCTCTCTAATGAAGTAATTTCACTCGGCAGTGCTGTTTCATGCAGGGCGGTTGTTGTTCATCGAGATTATCCGTTGGCAATAACTTGTTTTTCTGTAGGCAATCCATCCTGCAGCAGTCGGTACACAGTAATAAATACTAATTGTAAAAAAGCTTCTTACGAAGATCAATAACGGCACAGGTAGAAGAAGCTGTTGGAAGCAGGACGGAAGAAAAAACCACTCTGAAGGGATACTGTTGGAACTTGTGCGAGCATGTTATTCCACAGTCAGCAGTGATGACCAAATATGGGACCACTGTTACTTTCCACCATGATACATTGATAAAGGAAAAGTTCTACAGTAACGTTTTCCGTGTCACAATCTCGCTCTCACATCCTAAAATTCCTGATGGAGAAAAACAAACTGGACTTCTTTTTTCTGAGCTTTGAGTAGCGATCGAAAGCGTGAAAAAGTGTACAGCTCCAGGAGACGGTGATATCACCACCAACTTTCTTAGAGCTGGATGTCACAATGTTTATATACTTCTCGCAACCCATATAACAACCTACCTTCAAAAAGAAAAAAAATCTTGCGCGGAGGACGTCGCATACGCTCATCGTCCCTAAAAAATGTGACCGAAGGAATTTCCGTAACTATTGCATGACATGCTTGTTGAGTGTACTCTACAAACTCTTCAGAATGTCGCCCATGTCAGGGATGTTGGTTGAGGTGCAACCAGTTGAGCGAATAGGATTTCGACATGGATTTTGCTGCACGAACCACATTTAAACCATACTCAAGGTAAAAGAAGTTTGTCCTGGGTACCACCTGCTCTCAGTCCTGATTTTTTTCTACTATCACACCGCTTCTCACACCATTAGAACGAATTCACTTTTCTCAGTGCTCGTCGACCAGCCCTCCTAAATAAGAACTCTTCACTGAAAATTGTAATAAGCAGCAATTAAAAAGTTAACCTGTGATTTAGTTAAAGCCTAAGCTTAACTGAGTTCGTTGCCGATTTGGGCTCCCCATATCAATCCCGTGAAGGATGATTGCTGATGGCACTGGCAGACAGAAAACTAGCTGAGAAAAAGGCGAAACGAAGGATCCGCATGATGTGGTGGTGAACGCGTTGGCCTCCGGAAAGCGTAATATCGCGTTCGTTCCCCAGCACAGACACTCGTGGCTCGGAGTTTTTCAAATATCTCTGTATCATTGTGGTTGTAGCTCGTTTGTGTTTCTCAGTCACATAATTCTTGATTATTGGCTTATTACATCTGGACGAAATTCGCTCATATATTTTTGCATTAGCAATAACACTCAAGGTTTACTATGTGTTACGCATGATTGGTGCTGCAGACGAAGTGTATTGCGTTGAATGCACTTCCATTTCAGTGCTTTATTTTATGGTGCGGAGCTTATGTCGCACTTATTCAATCCAACAATCGTCCAACATAGATTTTATGCCAGGCGTGTTCCGCCCAACCTTTTCTCCACACATAATAACTTTTGAAACTTGCGAAAAAAACCCAATTTTCTAAAAGCTGTTTTGCGACCATAGACTACTACTGTTGAAGAAGGTACGTAGCATAAAGATTAGCGGCTGATACGGTACAGTAATACCTCTTCTTGAACACAGAAGTTCCACACTTCAAGGCAGCTTTTACCTATGATATGGCCAGAAATCATTGAGCGGACATCCTGAGAGGGGCAGTGATCACAAGGTATGCGTTCATTATGTGCTCCCACCGACTGCTTTCATAGGAAGTTATTAGGTTTTATTAGGACAACCTTCTAGTGATGTTTTAAGTCCTGCCCTCAAAAACATTTTGCCAAGTAAATTTATAGTTTATATGCATATACATTAATGATATCGTACGTATAATATGCAAATGCTATGTAGAACCAACAATCTTAACATTATGATGCTGAGATATTTGCAAAACTCCGGACCGCAGGTAACTGCGGTGGGGATTAAACTCGCTACTACCCTTTCTGGTCGTTGGTTCACCACGACACCATGTGGGTCCTTTGTTTCGCCTTTCTTTCAAGTAGGTTTCTATCCACCGGTGCCATCGGCAATCGCCCGTCAACGGAATTCATTTGGCGAGCACAAACCGGCATTGAGCCGAGTTAGGCTGGGGCTCTTGTCGAAATCACAATATTAACCTTTTATTTACTGCCTAGTCTAATTTTTTACGGCAGAATGTTATGTGAAGTGCAACCACAACGATGATGTGCCCCACCACAGACACCTGCAATCCGGAGTTTTGCAAATATTCCAGCATCAATACAGTTGCATTTGACGTAATATCCTGCCGTTAGGAATTAGGGTAGGCGGTAAATAAAAGTTAACATTGTAAAATTTTAACACTTTCCATCAAAGATGTGCACTTTGCATGACCCGTATTGAAAGGTCGACCCCGCCCAGACTCACCCAATCTTTCATCCGAGATCGGAGAAATGCTAGCAGACTTGTCTAGGAACTGTTTACACTATGCAATCCAAGTAGGAACGCTCGATCTTCACTTTCGCAGGAGTTCAAGGAAAATCGATTCGACCAGCATTCTACGATACCCATAGACAATAACTTGAAGACTTTGCTAAGGTTTCAACGTGAGGGAACAAATCGGATTCAAAAAGTGATGTGGTCCGCACCGTGTGATGCCTGTGATGCCGGATCATGTAATAATGATACTTGCTTACTTACTTGGATACTTGGACGGTCCATCTTCACGAGCTGTGCGGACCTCAGTCCCAGCACATATGCCATTCGTTCCTTTCACTCGCATTCCTAGTCCACGATGGGTGGTCTTGTTCGAGTACGTTAGCGCGTGCGAGTCTCATACCGTGATTTGTAAAACAACTGTAGCTGCGGGTACAGCTGATTAACTTTGTTTACGAACACGTCCGCCCAACGTGTAGGTGCTCGTCCAAGGAGACGTTTGCATTCTCTTTGAGTCTAATCTACTGTTCTTTTCGTCCATCTGGCGCCAGTTCTTCCCATTATGTGACCGGCCCATCTATGTTTCTCTGCCGATGTATATTCTCCTGGCTCTTCAGGATGTGACAGATTTCGAAAGTCAGAGCTTCGCATTCCGGCTAGATATTGAGAGTACTGGTTATATTTCAGAAGACATCGCTCAAGCGCTCTGTGAGTAGTACAAAGCATTTTTGATGTAGTTGAAGTATCAACCCACCTCTTTGCAGCATAAGAAAGCACTGGGAGGACAGTAGAATCAAAGAGATGAGCGCGGATTTTCGGGTCCTTCGGTTGGTCGGTGGCTTCTTTGAGAGGCCCAAGCTGCTCTCCTTCTCCTATCTGGTTCCTCGTTTATGTTGTTTTCCATGTTCATTGATCGCCGAAGGTAAACGTACGAGGTGGCCTCTGCAATGAGAGAGCCATCCAATTCAATTTTTTCGCCTTCGCACCATGGATTTATCATGCACTGGGTCTTCTTTCGATTTATGCGAAGTCNTTGATGTAGTTGAAGTATCAACCCACCTCTTTGCAGCATAAGAAAGCACTGGGAGGACAGTATAATCAAAAAGATGAGCGCGGATTTTCGGGTCCTTCGGTTGGTCGGTGGCTTCTTTGAGAGGCCCAAGCTGCTCTACTTCTTCTATCTGGTTCCTCGTTTATGTTGTTTTCCATGTTCATTGATCGCCGAAGGTAAACGTACGAGGTGGCCTCTGCAATGAGAGAGCCATCCAATTCAATTTTTTCGCCTTCGCACCATGGATTTATCATGAACTGGGTCTTCTTTCGATTGATGCGAAGTCCGGTCTTTTTCCCCGCTTCGTTGAGCTCGTTGTTCATCACTTCTGCTTCGCTAGTACTTCTTGAGAAGATGACAATGTCGTCGGCAAACCGAAGGTTTGATAGGAATTTTCCCTCAATACGTATGCCTTTCTCATCCCAATCGAGTGACTTCATTATCCACTGGAGTGCGGCACTGAACAGCTTTGGCGATATTGTGTCGCCCTGTTGAACCCCTTTTCCTATGGATATTGTAAGAGGTCGATGGAAAAGCTGCGTTTTCGTAGTTCAGTCCCGATAGCAGTCGGACAGAGTCCTTGTGTAGAACGGCTCTACTCCTTGGTCGACNAAGGTTTGATAGGAATTTTCCCTCAATACGTATGCCTTTCTCATCCCAATCGAGTGACTTCATTATCCACTGGAGTGCGGCACTGAACAGCTTTGGCGATATTGTGTCGCCCTGTTGAACTTACCCTTTTCTTATGGATATTGTAAGAGGTCGATGGAAAAGCTGCGTTTTCGTAGTTCAGTCCCGATAGCAGTCGGACAGAGTCCTTGTGTAGAACGGCTCTACTCCTTGGTCGACGAGCGCTGATAGGATTGCATTCGTTTCGACACTGTCAAACGCTTTCTCATAGTCGACAAAGGTTAGGACTAGAGGTAAGTGGTATTCCGACAAACTTCGATGACCCTGGGCACGGTTTGGATGTGGTCCATGCAGCAAAATCCTTTTCGAAATCCTACTTGCTCGACTGGTTGCGCCTCATCCAATGAACTTGATATGCGCGAGAGGACAATCCTCGTGAAAGGCTTGTGGAGCACACTTGACGAGCATATAGGGCGTTAGTTACGAAGATCCCTTCGGTCTCCTTTCTCGAGCAGGATGACCGTGCGCGACGTCCTCCACTAGTCTGCGATTTTTTTCTTCTGAAGGTAGCCTGTCATATAATCTGCGAAAAGTACATGTAAATTGTGGCCTCCAGCTCTAAGGAAATTGGCAGTGATATGATCGGGTCCTGGAGCTGTGCCGCTTTTTACGCTTTCTATCGCAACTCGAACCTCTGACGGAAGAATTCCTGGTGGCTTTTCTCCAGCGGGGATATTAGGGCCCGGGCAGGGGATTGTGGAACGGAAAAGGTTGGTGTGGAACGTTTCCGCTATTAATTCCATATGATGGCGGAGAGTTTTGATGATCCCATCTTCGTTCATCAGGGCTGACAGCGGAACATTATAATCACACAAGTCCTGACGGCATTTTTCGGACTGCTTCTTTTCTCTGCTGCTTCCAGTATTTTGTTCTGCTTGTACCGTTGTAGATCTTCCCGCAAACCTCTTCGGCAGCTGGCATTTATTACTAGCCATGTTAAACGTGTTGCAATAGGATAAAGCTTGTTTCCTTTTCTTTTCGATCAACTCCTTAGTAGTGATGGAGATGCGATCCGATCTTCTTGCTTGAGGAACTGAANCTAACTCGGCACAACTTTTCAGTCCTTCGACAAGCAGCTCGTAGTCTTCATTCAGGTCTTCACTAATCTGCCAGTCACGTTTGGACAAGACTTCGTTCAGAATGTTCTCGTCGCATACACCTAGACTTTCCCCTCGTGGTCCATGAAGAGAGTTCTTTTCCAGCTTGCGATTGAATCGAATCTTCACGCGAAGAAGGCGGTGATCGGAACCAGTACAGAGTGACGGGACTACCGGTGTAATAATGATAGAAGTAAAAATAATGGACCATGCTTATCATATGAATTAGGCAGACACAAACAATGTTAAGATGCACTAAACATAGGTTATAAAATGCTTCCAAATGTTAACAAAAACGTGGTTGGACGGTAGGACCGTAGGAATGCATAGTGAAGAATAGCGTGTATACCCCAGAGTGGCAGAATAAAGTCTTGTCTGTATCTCTGTGGTGCTCTCAACCTCCTAAGTCCTCTAGTTAGGGTAAATTTGTCGATTATTATCGAAAAACTAGCATTGTTCATTACTTAGTGCGTTTTAATCACGGCCAAATCACATTGTTTGAGCAGCCGGCGTGAAACTAGGTACCGCCCCAAGCGACACCCGGCCAAATTGCATCAGTAGGAAAGTTTGCAGATAAACAAAAAGACGTTTCTTAGACGTGTACTCACAAATGAAATTAGACTAATTTTAACATGGGCCAAACCAATATTTTTGCTGCACTGAAGTGCATTCAGAACAACTGCGAGAGTATTGTTTTTCTAAGAAAACGCAAATATCGTCCTTGAGTAATAATGATATTTAATAGCATCTAGCAATGAACATTGCTAGTATGTGCAGATGGTCATTTTTGAACTCTAAAAGACAAGAGGTCTCCCAGCGGTTTACCCTCATCGTGATTGTAAGGTATTCCTGGTTGTCGGGCTGCGTTGTAGAGGGAGGAGATTCATGTCCTCGGCACGGTCTCCCAAGCTGGGAAGGAGTCCGATGTCTCCATCAGGAAGCCCAGCTAAGAGTAAATCAATACCAGGATCCACCACCGTCCTGGTTCCAAAATATTTGCATAGTCGCAAATCTCCCCTAACACATAAATCTCCAAAAAAGTGTAGATTATTCTGGAGCCCTATCCGAGTACTTTATCCATTAAGTCCCCTTGCCTTAGAACCGTTATCCTGAAGGTGGTCCGATTCACGTACGGATCTAACTATGAATCGACTGTGCGCGTCTTAGTGTCTCCTCGTCATATGGTTTCCTTCTGTGAAATTAACGAAGCACCTGAGTTGGGAACATTGATGTCTTGAAACAAGGATTCATCTAAGACAAGTACGACTGTTTCAGCAGCAACAGTTCTTGTTTACTTCCATACAATAACACACATACAACACAATCAACAATACACACACATACAATACAACAAACATGGAAATCTGCATGATAATTACGAGATCTACGGCTTCTCGAAAAAACCCACCGCTTTTTTCACCTGTCTTCCACCGAGGAAGAACAGCCGCTCAGAGTCGCATGTGGTTGACGACTGCACCTCCCACATCAACGATCGATACGAATATAAGGGGTGAGATCACGCGTGATCTCGGAGCATTCCTCTCTGCTCTTCATTGTAGGATTTTTGGCATTTATCCAAAAAGCTTCGACGAGTTTGTGCGTTGGTGTTTTAGGATCCCGTACGAGGATAGCGACTTTTATATCAAAATCGTCTCGCTATGCTTTTGTATACTATGCGTCCCTAGTGGGGTATTTTGTCTTGCTCTTCGTTTGCCATCTTCGTTCCTA